CGACACCGTTGACGACCACTGTAACAATATCAAAGACAAACTATAAGGTATTGCAATTCAAAGATAAACCATGAAGCTTGCCGTAGAGATGACCATATTAGCACCAGCGCCATACACAGAGCGAACGGTTGGAGAAGAAGATGGAGAACATAAATTGGAAAACTATGAAGTAGTAGAGCAATGTGGCATAAACACCAGAAGCGCAAAAACTCAAAACGCATGAACGAGATCAACGCTAAACGATCGTGGCGTTGCTGATGTTGCACACGCTCGTTGCATTTGTAACTGCAAACGTTGGACGGTGACGACGTGCGTCTACGTTGAGGTTTAATGCGGGAAGTCACTCACATACATGCACTGCGATGATGATGTACACGGTTCTCGAAGCGCTGAGTGCGCGCGAAGCTGACGAGCCAAAAAATTACCGGTAGCAATAAATCAAACTATCAATTGAATTCCGGTGTGATCATCACTTGTACGCAGCGCAGCAAACGACTTTACAACGCGAATGCGACGTCTGGAAGTTGGCGGCTTCTGGATGCGTGTAAGCTTGTCAGTGGCGAAACGATTACAATAACCGTAGCTGATCGCGAGTGGCTGCCGTTGTTTCCCCATCATTGCCACTACCGCTGAGACATCTTTTTTCTTGGTGTGGCAGTTGCAACAGCTGGGTTGTTGTTGCCGCTTAAGCCGATTTAACGATTCAGTGATGAGCATTCCACGAATCGTGTGACGAGGGGTAAGAGTGCACGAGTGCGGTAAACTTCGGTTTTTTATATTCTTTTCACAAGCAGGCGTGCGCGCTTGCGCATGAACGCGCGGATAAATCATCCACCAACCGCTTGAACTTGGCATGCATACCATAAGCGTGTAGATGCGGTGCTCCATGTGCGTACTGCGACCACGCAATGTGAAACCGGCAGCACTCCATTCTACTCTACGGTCAGTCGCTTAGTCAGTTGGCCGACTGGTGGGTCAGTTAGAATCAGCCCATGGTAACTATGATGCTCGTGCGCGGCATAAATCAAGGAACACATCTGAACAACAATTGACCAAACATGTTGAGAGAACAAATTGGCTGGGCAAACAAGAAAAACTGAAAGAAATATATAAAAGAGCACGCGTTTTAAGCACATATTAATGGCGCGCGAACGCCTACTTAACGCTTACTTACATATTTACAACGACAGCAGTTCGCGCCTGCAACATTTGTGGCAAGTGTGAAATATGCTTTGCATTGCCACACATTAGAGGTAAAAGCAGTCTGCGTTTCGCAACGGTAGCGGCAACGGCAGCAACAATGCTGTCCAATTGACCAGTGAGCAGCTGATTAATATTAGAGTGTTGAGTTTTCGTTTAGACAATAAATCAAACGACCTGTAGCCATAAATAAATCGCTAATTTCATTCAAGGTGCCGCTTAATCAAATAAAATATCTTTATACATATATTAAATTATTACTAAATGGAAATTTTTTTAACGAAAGAGTGCGTATGCATGAGTATACTTATATTAATTAATAACTCCTACGCGCTGAAGAATTTATTAAAGAATAATTGATTTGAGCAACGCGATCTTAACCCCAAAGGGGTCTGATTTTGGTAATATACCGACGCAATAGCTTTAAGTGAGGCATCAGTTTTAATGTAGTAGGTAATTTCAGAAATTAGTAATAGTTATATGGCAAACTCTTTTGGAATAGCAAATTTTCCAAGATCCACCTAGTGTTAGTCAAGCTTAAGATTAACACGATAGCCTTAATCAGAAATTGAATATTCACACTATTGCAATTTACAAAGCTTCTACGCCTTGAAAGATTCGAAATATTTAAGAATCAATAAGACATCTAAAGAAGATCGAAAATTCTGATACAGTTTAATTAAGTGAATGGATAACGAAGCAACTGATTCACAATATTATTAAAAAAAAAAAACTTTGTAATAATTATACTTGCAGTTGCTGAATGAATTTAAACGTGATATTATCATGATATATAACAAGTAAGGAAGGGCTAAGTTCGGGTGTCACCGAACATTTTGTACTCTCGCATCAAATACCGTATTTGTGTAAAGTTTTATTCCGCTATCATCATTGGTTCCTAATGTCTATATTATACAGAGAAGGCATCAGATGGAATTCAAAATAGCGTTATATTGGAAGAAGGCGTGGTTGTGAACCGATATTCACCCATATTTCGTACATGTCATCAGGGTGTTAAGAAAATATTMTATATCGAATTTCATTGAAATCAGTCGAGTAGTTCCTGAGATGTGGTTTTTGGTCCATAAGTGGGCGACGCCACGCCCATTTTCAAGTTTTGAAGAAAGCCTGAGTGCAGCTTCTTTCTGATATTTCTTCCGTAAAATTTAGTGTTTTTGACGTTCTTTGTTAGTCGCTTAACGCACTTTTAGTGATTTTCAACATAACCTTTGTATGAGAGGTGGGCGTGGTTATTATCCGATTTCTTCCATTTTTGAACTGTATATGGAAATGCCTGAATGAAACAACTCTGTAGAGTTTGACATAGCTATAGTAGTTTTCGAGATATGTACAAAAAAGTTAGTAGGGGGCGGGGCCTCGACCACTTTTCCGAAAAAATTACGTCCAAATATGCCCCTGCCTAATGCGATCCTTTGTGCCAAATTTCATTTTAATATCTTTACTTATGGCTTAGTTATGACACTTTATAGGTTTTCGGGTTTCGCCATTTTGTGAACGTGGCAGTGGGCCGATTTTGCCCATCTTCGAACTTAACCTTCTTATGAAGCCAGGAAATACGTGTACCAAGTTTCATCATGATATCTCAATTTTCACTCAAGTTACAGCTTGCACGGACAGACGGACGGACAGACAGACATCCGGATTTCAATTCTACTCGTCAGCTTGATTACTTTGGTATATATAACCCTATATCTGACTCTTTTAGTTTTAGGACTTACAAACAACCGTTATGTGAACAGAACTATAATACTCGCTTTAGCAACTTTGTTGCGAGAGTATAAAAATTATTTATTGAATTTCAAACAAAGATTAAATGTTACCTTAAAATATATGATTGGTATCCATTTTTTCTTATAGCCTTACTTACACTTTTCTTAAAATATATATAACCCTTATATACAATATACCATATGTATATATAATTAAAAGTGTTAAAAAAATGTCCTGAGCTGTATAGACTATATCGAAGTTTCTCCTCACTCACTGCAATATAAAACTATGGAACTCTTTTATAGAGTCTACTGTCTACTGCAACAAAAACTGAATGCAAGTGAAGCCTGGACAAATTCACAATTTCCTCTTCAAAAAACTGTCGACGATTTCATTCCTACGGGAGTCAAAACGGATCTGGTATATTATTCGACCAAATACAGATGATTCGGCTGCGTTCTCCAAAATATGCAGAGATTGTTCTCTTGTCGTTACAATAAAAGTCTTTAAAGTAGATATTGAGAGCTCTTTTGAAGACTCCTTTATTACTAGTATTAACTTACTACTACAATACTGGTTTTAGAAATCACAAAGCCAGGCTTAAAAAGTCTGTATTTTAATGCTTATGCAATCCGAAATCGAAACATTTCTTATACAAAAAGGTACATCAAATCTCAAGCATTGCACATTTATCTGCCTTAACCGAATTGAAGTGAACTGCACGACTACGACGCTTCAAGCCAAAGAATTTGCAACGTACGCATTGCGCAGGTCATTCATGCGACAAATGCGGCAATCCAGCCATGCAATGGCGAACCAATAACCAGCAGCCAACAGTCAAACAACTAAACAACTAAACGTCAGCCGTCAGACTTGTTGTTGCTACTTGGAATTGGCAAAAAAGTGTTAAAATGTGAGCAGTTCTTGCGATCAGATAAAATGTCAAATTGTACATAAAAGCTTCTACATCCCAGGAATTACTAAATTACTCGCATCTGAGCAACGAACGAACTGCTGCCAATATGGATTGCCCTACGCCGGGCGATTTAGATGGACGCGCGTTGGTTCATTGGCGGTTTTTTATTTAGCAAGTTGTGCGCCACGACGCGTTGCTTTATATGTGTGCCGATCCCAGCCAACTGCCATACAATGACAATGAATTGATCGACGAAGTCCGGCGGTATTTGGAACTTGTCAGGAATTCCTCAAATTCCGAGCAAGTGATGAAATTAGCACCGAAAACATGACTACGCGGCCGGTGGTGGTGGACCACACAATGCGCGCGACTCGTTGATAACACCGGTGTTGGTTAGTGGCTGCAGATCGCGCGCTGCCGTATAATGAGTAGAATGGCAAGTGTTATGGATGTGAGGCGTTATCGCCCGCCACTTGGGGAACTCGTGCGCACATTGGGAGATGATTATGACGACGTTCAAGATGCCATGCTGTTGTGGCGCGGCATTCGAAAGCGCGATGACGACTTCTTGATAGCCAGCACTCTATTATGCCCATATATGACATGTTAGTGGCTCGTCAAGCCATGATCACGTATCGATTATTTTGTGCGATGCGTCCGATTTTTAGTTTTATACCATTTTTAGTTTTTTTCTAGCCGCAAGTGCTGGCTCAAGTATTTTGCGGACTCTTTCTACTATCTCCGTCTGCGCTCTGACGGTATGTGTTAGTGTTACGGGCGTTTTTTTTCTTTTACCCTTTCTGCTTGTGTTCCTTACGAGTGTTGCAACTTTAACTTCAAAGACAATTGTGTTGACAGTGCAATGGAACAAATTTGTAGTGATTTGGTGTTGGCGCGCAATGTGCGGAATTTCTGTGTGATGCCTCGTTTAAATTCCGCGTAAAAGCAAATTAAACTTTTATTCGAAACACCAGAAAAAAGTGAAGTAAAAGTAGTGTGGCTTGTGGTGGCCTATGAGGTTTCACACTTTAGTAAATTGCAAGCGCACTGACACATTTTTTGTCGAATCTTCTTCATAATTACAGTTTCATCGTTTATTTCTTTTTTACAATAATTTGTCTCACCATTTCCTTTCATTCTATCTTCCTTATAGTGGGACTACCAGCCGCTCCACCTGCCTCTATTCCGCCGGGCATTGCGAATGCTCCAAGTTTGGGTAACATCTTTGGAAATGCGCATTCAGCCCCACATTCAACGCTCAATGCTCTAATGTCACAACATCGCCTCTTGGAACTCTCTCGTTTCGGTTTGCGTGGCTACGATTTGGCCCAACATATGCTGACGCAACAAGGCGCTGTCTCCAAGTTGTTGGGTAGGTACAATACAGAAACCGTTTATAAAATTCTAAATAAATTCCATAATATCTTACACCTTAAATGACATCTTTCAAGATATTTGTAACCAAATAACACAGCTGTAGTATAAACGTAATTTATTGCCCTGAATATCTTAGCAGAATTGGATATTTACGGGTTTCCAGATTATGAGTTTATTAATCACAGCATTGGATGTGCTTTTACTGTTAAGATTATTGCATACCTTATGTTTTGTTCAACTAACGCCTCATTAGCAATACCATTCATTTTTCCAGTCGTGCTTAGGGTTTTGATCACCTTTTCCATGCATGCAAACACGCAATTTTGTTTTTTCAGAGTCTTTATCGTAAATAAACGAAAAAGTCTGCGGAATGCTTTAATAAAACTCAAACATGGAAATATCAGTCTACAAAATATACTGTTTTACTCAATGAAAATGCCCCTTAACGTTTAAAAACTTTTTGGCATGACTTCAGATACAATGATGTCGCCAAATTCCCAGAAACCGGAACAGTGTACTAGTGAAAGTGAAAGTGAATGAAGAAAAAGGGTGAAACGTCAACGCCACAGTTTTTCTTCTTCTTAGCGTAGACACCGCTTACGCGATTAAAGCCGAGTTAACAAGAGCGCGCCTGTCGTTCCTTCTTTTCACTACGTGGCGCCAATTAGATATTTCAAGCGAAGCCTGGTCCTTCTCCACCTTCCAACTGAGGGAGTGTCCTCCTCTTCCTCTGCTTCCCCCGGGGGGGACTTCGTCGAATACTTTCAGAGCTGGAGTGTTTTCGTCCATTCGGACAACATGACCTACTCGCAACATCGACTTATCAGTTGTTGTCATCGTCCAAGCCTCTACACCATATAGTAGGACGGGGTTAATGAGTGACTTATAGAGTTTGATTTTTTTGAGTCGAGAGAGGACTTTACTTCTCAACTGTCTACTCGGTCTGAAGTAGCACCAGTTGGCAAGAGTTATCCTGCGTTGGATTTCCATGCTGACATTGTTGGTGATGTTAATACTGGTTCCAAGAGAAACGAAACTATCTACGACTTCAAAGTAATGACTGTCAACAGTGACGTGAGAGCCAGGTCGCGAGTGCGATGACTGTTTGTTTGATGACAGGAGATATTTCGTCTTGCCCTTGTTCACTTCCAGACCCATTTGCTCTGTTTCCTTGTCCACTCTGGAGAAAGCAAAACTAACGTCGCGGGTGTTGAGGTCGATGATATCAATATCATCAATATCGAAAGATTGTACATGCTCGATTAAATTCTACAACTCGAATTATTTTCTCCAGCAGCAGATTGAAGAAGTCGCACGATATAGAGTCGCCTTGTCTGAAACCTCGTTTGGTATCGAACGGCTCGAAGAGGTTCTTCCCGATCCTGACGGAGCTTTGGGTCTTGCCCAACTTCAGTTTATGCAGTCGTATTAGTTTTACGGGGATAAGAAATTTAGACACCGCGGCATAAAGACAGCTCCTTTTCGTGCTGTTGAAAGCAGCTCTGAAATCGACGAAGAGGTGGTGTGTGCGGATTCTCCTTTCACTTGTCTTTTCCCAAATTCGGGGTATGCTGAATAGCTGGTCGGTTATTGATTTACCAGGTCTAAAGCCACACTGATAAGGTCCAATCAATTTGTTGACGGTTAGTCTTTAACACAAAAATATCGATAGAACCTTCTACACGATGTTGAGGCGGCTTATACCAGGGTAGTTGGCACAAATTGTGGGGTTTTCTTTATTGTGGATTGGGCAGAGAACACCTAAAGTCCAATCGTTGAACATGCTTCCGTTCGACCATATTTTGTGAAGAAACTGATGCATGCTTCTTATCAGTTCTTCGCCGCCGTGTTTGAATAGCTCGCTCAGTAATCCAACGACTCCCGCTGCTTTGTTGTTCTTCAGACGAGTAATTGCTATTCCAACTTCTTCATGATTGGACAATGAAACGTCTGCTCCATCATCATCGATTGGGGTTCGCCTTATCCTGGCGTGGTACCTTCAGTGACATTCAGCAACCTGGATAAGTGTTGTCTCAATAATTTTAGTATGCTCTGGGCATCGGTCACTAGATCACCTTTGGAGGTTCTACAAGAGTATGCTCTTAGTATCTTTCCCATCCCGCACGTGTTGTGCTCGATCGTAAAGTTACGAGGTAGGCAGTTTTTTTCTCTCCGCTGCGACACGGCACTCCTTGTCGTACCAGCTGTTCTTTTGCATTTTACGAAAACAAATGGTTTCGGTACGTAAGGAGTTTGAAATACCGTCCCTCTGTTCCCTTTCACCGATTTGTTGACGAGTGCTCTCAGAGAGCAAAAGTGCAAGTCGAGTAGAAAATCGATCAGATGGTTGGTGGTATTTCTATCCGGAGACAGCCAGGTAGCTTGATGAATTTTTCGGCCCTCGTCTCAGTCCATGTCCCGTCCGTTGCATTTCTTAAACGGCGGTGATGTCAGCTTTCAGTCTAATAAGGACATCAACCAGTTGGACAGCTGTTTACGCTTTTTCATTGTGGAAGGGATGTTTCGCCTTCTTACTTTAGCTCGTACTCAAATGGATGTTTTTAGGGTACCCAGAGGATACTTGGTCAAAGACCGGAACTCGTGAGATGCTTGAGCCATATACTAAAGAATTGTTTCTGGCCACTCCCAAGTGAATGGCGATCAGAGAACTTTCCTCACTTGCATAAACTTCTACACATGATTCCATCCACCAAATGTTGGCCGCGGCTACGTCTCAGATGATCTCCTCATTGAGCCCAATTTTCAATATTCCGTTCGAGTATTTCGACTGGTAACTGGTTAATGACAAACGTGATGTTTTGCTCCAAGGCCTGAATCAAAGCGGGACTGTCTGCATCGACTTAAGACTTAACATATCCCCACAGGTAAAAGTCTAACGGTGTGATATCACATGATCTTGATGGCCAAAAAGTTAAATTATCTGCTCATCGAAGTGTTCTCTCAACAAATCCATTGCGATGTGTGGGAAGTGGCACCCTCTTTTTGAAGCTAAACGTCCCCGAAGTCACGACCTCCAATTTCATGCATGAAAGAGTATGTTATCAAGGCGCAATAATAGCCCCAGTTTTTGACTAATATCGCAGAATACTGGGCATACTCCATGTAATTCAGCAATTTTCTCCACTTTCTTTATATTTATGTGACAGGATCTCAATTTTTTATACTCGTGCAACCTGTTGCTACAGAGTATTATAGTTTTGTTCACTTAACGACTGTACGTATCACCTAAAACTAATCGAAATAAATATAGGGTTATGTCCGCCCGCCCGTGCACGCTTTAACTTGAGTAAAAATTGAAATATTTTATGTAAACTTACTACGGGGGTTTCTCAGTACAAAAAAAATTACGACTTCGTAGATGAGCGTAATTGAGCCACTGCCATATCTACAAATCTCCATTAATCGAAAACCTGTAAAGTGCCATAACTAAGGACTAAATTAAAATATAAAACCCTAATTTGTAGAGGGGATCGTAGTAGGCAAAAAAGTTTGAAAAACTGGACGTGGCCCCGCCCTATAATAAGTTTAATGCACGTAACTCCTAAAGCAATACAGCTTAAATAACTAAATTTGTTAAGCTTAAATATTAAAAGAAGGCCTTTTTTTTTTAATATTTCTTTATTTATTGGATCTGCTTTTTTAAGGCCAACAAGAAGTTATAAAATCTTAAATCTATTTAAAAACTAGACAAGCTTAAGCAAGTGATTGAGCTGATTTTGCTATTAGACCCTTTTACTTTGTTACATAAGTTGTGTCATAAATTGGGTAAGGTTGAAAATCATAGTTTCAACGCTTCGATTTGGTGGGTTTTGGGGCAATTACATGTGTGCGGTGCTGCTTTTCACCACATTTGCATAGCTTCCTTGAGTTGCATTATTTTTAATATTTTCGCTAGATGGAATATTTATCATTCGATTACGACGTGCTTGAATTCCGACAAACAATTTCGTTTTTAAGTGTTTATATAAGTTAGCCTTAGTAAAGACAACAACTAAAATAGGAGGAATTGGTCAGCCAAAATAACATAAATTGCTTTGAATGCCACGCACGATCATGCTGGAATGCTTACTACGTTCATTTGCATATCAATTCTCTTATCATTATTATCACCAATAAGAGCGCTCAGCAAGAGCATAAATTTTCGATGGATGACATTCGTTTGTTACGTTTTTAACTTATACATTTTGTAGGGTGCACATATTTTCGTGTGCCCATACTCTTGGCAGTTTGTGCATTGTACTGATATTCTGTGATGGTGCAGATATTTTAGATTGTAAATCGGATGTGTTTTGTTTTTTTTTGGTTGATTAGAATTTTACATCAATTCTATTTTACACATTGGTTGTGGGATCTTCATTCTTTTAAAAATATTTACTACTGATTTAATAATAAATCCACTTTCTTCCATTGTTTTTTGAACATCGTTAGAGTCTAGCGAAGACTCTATATCTTTTATGACAACTACTAGGTCTTTGAACTCTTCAGCTGGTAGGAGTAGTAATTCCTGTTATTATTTGACAAGTATTTTACCTATGTTACCTTTTTTCAAGGACACTATGAGCAAGTTGTCTATGCCTATTATATTACTTATTTTGGAGAAAAACGGTTTGAGCTCCGCTCACGGAGACCTATTCATAGTGTGAAAATGGATGAAATCAGAAGATGACCCCGCTCTCTACCAAAGATGCCACGACAGGGTTTTATAAGAGCCGGTATGAAAATTAGACGATAGCCGTGGCACCGCCCACTTTTTGCATTTTTAACATATTTTTATGTCACTACAATTACGCTTACTTCACATAAAACTTAACACAAGTACACAAATCAGGATATAACCAATATATCGGAATACAATTTTGCAGTAATAATTAATTATCTTTAAGTATGCCACCTTTTGACCAAAAATTGTTCAACCAATCAAAACTGTTCAGGACCCTAGGTATCGAATATGTGGACCCCAGTATTTATAGTTGG